TCCTATCACATCGATTTCCCCTGAATACAACGTAAGGTCATTATAGCTGACTGTATTTAGACTGAAAGGTACCCCAGATACAGATATAATTACCGTACGTTGTATTCGGGGGAAGAAGGTAATTGCCACATTGCTAAAACGAATTGTCACGAGTTCGAAGCCCACCCCGAATACAACGTAAGGTCATTATAGCTGACTGTATTTAGACTGAAAGATACCCCAGATACAGATATAGTAATTACCGTACGTTGCATTCGGGCGAAGAAGGTAATTGCCACAATGCTAAAACCAATTGTCATTTCATAAAATAAAAAAAATAAAAAAATAAAAATAAAAAAAATCAAAAACACTAGTCACGAGTTCGGAGACCCATGCTTACTCGCTCTTTCGTCCTTCTGCTCTCGTCCTCTCCTCTACTGCCGTCATTCCTGAGCTCCACGTGGCGCCGACGTCAACGTCTCCCTCCTACCATAAGTCCTTTCCCGCGGCGAACGTAGACTTGGGGTATTGCCGCACACCGTTCTAGAAATGCGCGCGAAGTGCGAATGAACTTCCCCCTAGAACATGGCCGGATGCACCCGCCAAATTTTTGTGGTTTCCAGACTCCGAGAGTGGTGTGAAGAGGCCCTTGGGGCCGCTCAGAATCGTGGGGCTTCGGGGCAGGCTCCCTACCTACCGTCTTCCCCCTAACACAACGAGCTCTCATTTTGGCTGTATCTGGCCGGAAATATGACTCCTATACATTCATTTTTAGGGTGCGTTATGCTCGGGGGAAGAGGGTAGCGACCGGCCTCAACTCTCCGCTTGCCAGAGTACATGACGTCACCTTCTCAGGGAAATGACGATGGGAGGAAGGGGGGGCCAGGTCCCTTTGGCAAAGAGGATGCGAAAAAGCGCCTGAATCTGGACGTGTTCGTGGAGATGTGCAAAACATAGTGACTGATCTGCTTTTCTGCATCTCTGTGTGGAACACGTCCAGATTCCACCACTTTTTCCAATCCTCTTTGCCAGCGGGATCTGGCCCTTATTCCCCTGCTTCCAAGTGGGGTTCGAACTGAGGTCTGCATTTCACCAGTTCAGGCAGCAGATGAATAAATTAAATGACTCCGGAGATCGTTTCCAAGTGGTTTCGCAGTCATCGGGAGCCACGTTGTCGTTTGGGCCTCATATGTTTTCGTAGTGCCCCTACCGGTACCCACATTAAATTTGCGTCATGCCCCTACCGGATAGCCATTGCGTAAATTTCCGATATGCCCCTACCAGTACCAACCATCTCTTCAGTGTGCCCCTGTCACCGTTGGAGGCACTCAGGGGAATTTCCAACCGGCCTGGGAGCGAGCTACCGGGGCATGACAGAAATTTGTGAGTGTCCCCATGTTTCTGCCACACCCTTGCTTGTGTGCAACGACACCAGGACACTCTGCCTGGGTAATTTCACGCATCCTGCGTCCTCCCTGCGATGCACATTATCTCCGTGGATACTCTCTCTCT